GATAGATAGATAAGGCAACCCCATTAAGCTTAGGGAGGAGACTTGGCCCTAAAAGAAGCAGAGGTAGGACCATCAGTGTTAGTAAGCAGACCTCTCGTGAAAACAGGGAACTGCACAAATCAGCAGCCCTGCTCTCAGACCTGGGAGTCCCCAGATAAGGTAGCCGGGATGTGGAGCCCCCGACTTCTCTTCTAGCTACTCAAGGAGGTGAGAGCTGCGGTCTGAGGCATGTAGATTCGGGTCAGTGGAGGGAGGAATCCCAAACCCTACCCGGACTGGACGCCAGAGTCCTGAATGAGGACTGAGGGAGCCACCAACTCCAGAACAGTGGGGTCGGAGAGTCCCACCCTTGCTGTTACCAGGCGTAGCCGAGCCCCAGATCAGCTTTGGCAGAATGAGGCTCACTCTGACTGTAAGCTCAGGTCCCAGGAAGATGAGGACCTTTTCTGACGGTCATGGGCTCACGTCAGCAGAGGGCAAAGTCCCAGGCAGGGTGCAGAGTCAAGGTGAAGATCCTGAGTGAGGAAATGGAGACTGCTCCATACACAGTGGAGAGAGCTGCATCTCATGCCGCCCCTGCCGTTAGCCCCGGGAGGCCCAGGGCAGAGCTGGCAGGCTCAGGTGCCCCCTAACTTCTGCCTGTGGGGTCTGAGGGAGATGAGGGCCTTGCTTTAAGGGCTGGCTTCCCGGTTCAGCAGAAGAAGGGGAGTCCCAGGCCATGATCGATGTCAAGGCACAAATTCTATGTGAGGAATGAGACAACCGACTCCCCCAGAACAGAGGAGACCCCACGAAGTGCCACGTCTGCCTTCACCCTGGGAAGCCAGGTTTAGAGCTCTCAGGCTGAATTGCCCTCTCAGTTCCTCCAAGGGTGGTCTCAGGGACGTCAGGGTTTGGGTCTAATGGGAGAGGCCTCATTCAACATAGGGAAGAAGCCTGGTTCCTAACGAGAGTCAAGGTGGTAACACCGAGTGAACGTGAGGGAGCCCCACCCAGAAAGAAGTGAACCACATAGAATCTCATCCCTACTCTCAGACCTGGGAGGGAGACTCAGGCATGGTGACCTGATGAATATCACTCATGTTTTCCCGGACCATGGCAGGGAGGTGAGGAACCTCCTTGATGGGAGTATGGGCTCAGGTGAGCAGCCAGAGGATTTCCAGGTAATGCCAGGAACCAAGGAGAGGACCCTGAGAATTGAGGGGACCACCTACACCACAATAGTGAGGGCCACAGAATCTCTTCCTGTCTGTCAGCATTGCAAGTCCACACACAGTTGTAGCTAGAGAGACAAGAAAATTTTCTTTCTAGCGGGTCTCGGGGAGTTGGGGGCCTTAGTATGAGGGGATAGACGTCAAGTCAAGACACAGAGGATGTCCAAGTCCTGCTGTGCGTCAGGGTGAGGACACTGAGGGATGATGTAGATGCACACCCACCCAAAGCAGTGGGGGCCCACAAACTCCCACCCCCCTCAGCCCTGGGACACCCCAGGGAGAGGTAGCCTGATGTGTCACCCCTCACTTCGGGCCCCAGGGACCCAGGCAGATGTGGGCCTTGATCTGAGGCCAGAAGACTCAGGTGGGCTGAGGGAGGAGCGTAGATGCCATCTGAGTGAGGGCGAAAGAGGCCAACGATGCCGCAACAGTGGGGTCCCGTGTAGCAGTGGTAGCCCCTGCTACCAACCCAGGGAGGGCATGGACGGGGGTGACTGGCAGTGGCTCACCCTTTCTTTCATCTTGGGGATCTCAGGAAGGTGAGAATCTTAATGTAATGCAAGCGAACTCAGATCAGCAGAGGGAGGATTTCCGGGATTTGCCAGGACTCACGGAGAAGATGCTGAGGACTGTGGGGGGAAGTCCACCCCGTGCCAGCGGGGACCGCGCAGAGTCCCTCTCCATTGTCGTTCCTAGAGGCGCCCCCGGGCACAGATGTGGGGCACAAGTGCCCATCAGTTCCCCACTCGGAACTCACAGGGAAGTCAGCATCTTGGTTTGATGGGTCAGCAGAGGGAGGAACCATAGACCCTCCCCTGAGAGAGAAATGGGGACCGTGAGGGAGGACCACACGTTATAGGGCCTCAGCCTGCCTGCTGCAGCTTTCAGCCTCTGGAGACTAGGGGCGCTGTGGCCAGGTAAGGCCATCGTCACTTCCACTGTTCGGTCTCAGGGAGCTGTGGGCCGTACTGTGAGGAAATGTCCTCAAGTCAAGAGAGAAAGGAGCCCCCAGATCCTCCCAGGAGACCCAGTGGGGACTGTGAATGACGACTGAAGGTAGCACACCCCCCTTCCACCAAATCAAAGGCATAATAAAGAGTCCTGCCCAGGCCTCTGCTCAGACCTTGAAGGCCCGGAGCATGGTTGTCAGGCGGAGGCTCCTCATTTCTTTGTATCATTTCTAAGGGAGACGAGATCCTTCGTCTGAAGGTGCCGCACCAGGGGCAGCAGGAGGGGTCCCAGACCCTTGGTATCGACAAGATGAGGACGCTGAATGGTTGAGGACCAACAAGTTCAGGACAAGGCAGCTCCCACAGAAGTGTCAGCGCTGTGCACCCCGACAGTGTCCATGACTCAGTTCCTTCTCGTGGGCCCCAGGGAGCTTTGAGGTGTCACCTTTAGAGCAGCACAGGAAAGAGGTCCCGGCCCTACCAAGAGTCGATGTGACAATCCTGTTTGTGAACGAAAGGGACCCTTGGAACCCAGAGAGGACCTACCCTACCAGGATCTGTGGTCACCGCCGTCAGCCACAGGCAGGGCTGGCAGGCTGTAGCCTGAGGCTCACTCACTCTCGCTTCTTACCCTGGGTTCTCAGGGGACAGGCTGACCAAGAACAAGAGCCTAGTGGTTCCTAGAGCAGTGCCCTCAAGGAAACGTGCAGAGCGGCCTTCTTCAAGTCAGGGTGGGACCTCCCTGCTGAAGGTGCTCACACCCTCTCACCTTCCCTCCTCCAGGTTCCAGCATCACCTGCTCTCCTGCCCACTCCCCCGCTTGCTGTCCCTGCCCATAGTCATGCCTCGGGGGCAGAAGAGTAAGCTCCGTGCCCGTGAGAAGCGCCACCAGGCCCGGAGGGAGACCCAGAATCTCGGGGGTGCTCAGGCCACTGCAGCACAGAGAGAAGAGTCGCCCTCGTGCTCCTCTTCTCTTTCTCGGGGTACTCCCCCGAGCTCCCCTGCTGCTGCTGGCCCTCGCCAGGAGCCTCAGGGAGCCCCAGCCACTAGCTCTCGTGCTGCAGGGGTTTCAGGCCCAGGATCTGATGTGCGTGCCAAGGGCCCGGTTCAGGCAAGGAAAAGTTCCTCCCGCGCCTCAGCCTCCGGTGAGAGCTTTCAGAGAGATCCTCTGATCAAGAAGGTGGGAATGTTGATAGAATTCCTGCTGGAGAAGTATACAATGGAAGAGCCCATTATAAAGGCAGACTTGCTGAAGCTTGTTAACAAAAGGTACAAGGGGAAGTTCCCTGAGATCCTCAGGAGAGCTGCTGAGTGCGTTCAGCTGATCTTTGGTCTTGAGTTGAAGGAAGTCAAGCCGGGTGGTGATTCCTATACCCTTGTCAGCAAGCTACATGTCAGCGATGATGGGCGTCAGAGCAGTGGCGGGCGGTTTCAGAAGAATGGGCTTCTGATGCTTCTCCTCGGTGTGATCTTCTTGCGTGGCGACCGCGCCTCTGAGGAGGAGATCTGGAAATACCTGAATGTTTTGGGTGTTTATGTTGGAAGGTGTCACATAATCTTTGGGGAGCCCAGGAAGCTTATCACAGAAGATCTGGTGCAGGAAAAGTACCTGGTGTGTCGTCAGGTGTGCGACAGCGATCCCCCGCGCTATGAGTTCCTGTGGGGCCGGAGAGCCCGCGCTGAAACCAGCAAGATGGAAGTCCTGGAGTTTGTGGCCAGGATCACTGGTACCGTCCCCAGTGCCTTTCCAGCCCATTATGAAAAGGCTTTGAGAGATGAGGAAGAGAGAGCCCAAGCCCGAGCCCGAGCCCGAGCCGCAGCCAGGGCTGGTACTCGAGTCAAGGCCAGTGCGCCTTCCAAGGTCATGTCTAGCAGTTCCTCCCACCCTTAGTGAGGTCTGAGGCAGCTTCTTCACTTTGTGTTTGACCAACGCTGCCAACCTTTTCAGTAGTGAGAGGCTAAGCTGGGGCTGGAAAGATCATAATATATATCTTCTTTGTGTTCCTGTTTTACACTAGTATCTTTCAAATGTTGTTTCTTTCACTAGAATGTTTCTTTAGATTCAGAATCCAAGTTTATAAATGACATGGATCACATATTTGTTGTTGTTTATCAGGTTTAAGCGTAAGAGTTTAGGTACTGTGTAGTACGATGTGAAAACTCCTTGCATCTTTCTGGGGTTGGGGTTCTGGACTGAGATAATATGGCATTGGAATAGGAATTTTCTTGGAAATGTGAAAGAATGCTGTGGTTTTAAAATGAAAAGCAAAGTAAAGTTTAGTCAAATTTTGGTTTGTCTTATTCACCTTTGTCTTTCTCTTTGTAAAATTCAAAGATATACACCTAGATGTCCTTAGCTTATTCAAGAATGCCGACAAAATTAAATAGTAATAAGTTACATTCCTCACTCAGTGCCTCATTGATTCCCATCTGTAATTGAGCATCTGCTCTTTGGAAGGTTCTGTGCTGGTAGTGATGATGCTAAGATAAAAAAAACCCTGCACCTGCCTGTAGATGTTGAGAGTATAAGAGCAGCTATTATATAAGGAAGGTGGTGTGATGGAAAAACCCAGTGAGGATGGTGGGGAGAGAGTCCAGATGAGAGCAGTGAAGTATAAATTCTCTTAGCCAGAACACTTTGAGGTTTAGGTTATTTTGCAAATCCCTCCTTGGGAGGTAATTTTAAGTTGGCTGCATGGTGGGCTAGATGAGGCTGTGATAATGGTGAGCAGGGGTCCAGTGCTTTTGCCCCGGTGCAGGTGAACACGGTGCACAAACAAACCAAGTGTTTTATGCATATTGTCTCCTTTGTGGTGGGATGCTAAGAAGCCCCTGTGCTGGCACTCTGTGCCCTGGGTTGGAGGAGCCCCAGCCCGCTCCATTAATTAGTTATCGGGTTTTTTTAATTGGAGTATAATTGCTTTACAATGTTGTGTTTCTGCTGTGCAACGAAGTGAATCATCTACACGTATACATATATCCCCTCCCTGCTGGACTTCCCCCCACCCATCTAGGTGGTCACAGAGCACCAAGCTGAGCTCCCTGTGCTGTACAGCAGGTTCCCACTAGCTGTCTATTTGACACATGGTAGTGTACATAGGTCAATCCTAATCTCCCAATTCATGCCACCCCGCCTTCCCCCGTGTCCACATGTCCGTTCTCTATGTCTGCGTCTCTGTTCCTGCCCTGCAAAGATGTTCAACTGTACCAGTTATCTAGATTCCACATATATGCGTTAATATATGAGATTTGTTTGTCTTGAGTGTAATCTGGCAGAACTCCTAAATGGGCCCGGATTTTGGTGGTGATGAAACACATGAAAATCGGTTGGGGGGACGGGTTTGGGAGGCAGGGGAATTATTGGTCCTTGACACAAATTCTATAAGGTTTGATTTGCATCCTGGTGGAACCCCTGCCTCCACAAATGAAACAACATTCTCTGATAGGGAAAATGTACTCAGGGTTACTTGCTAAGGAGCACTTTGGTTAATTCAGCTTTCTTTGTCCTAGAGGCCTGCATAGTCTCTGACATCTCCTGGATAAAATGAAAAATTCCTAGAGATGAGGGTATCTCTAGGACAGAGAAGACCAGTCTCTTCTGGTATGAAAATAAGCATCATAATAACTGCCATGCATGAAAGACCCAGACATCGCCAGCCACTGTGCCAGGTGCTTTACATATATCACATATGTTCCGACAGTTCTATAAGATGAGGCTTATCAAACCCACTTGGCAGACAAAGAACTTGCAGTATTCTCCGGACTGGTAAAGTGACAGAACCGGGAGTACAGCCCGGTCTGAATTCCTCCAGAGCCCATACTGTTCCACTCCTCCCAGCCTGAGGCAGCCCTTCTGTCTCTTAATCCATTTCTCCTCTCACTGCTCCGTGATGTCTCTCAGGCAATAAGAAAGAGGAACTTGTAGCCAAAATATTAAAAGCAGGCCTAAAGAAGGAAGGTGAACATGAGAATCAGACACCATTTGGGGATTGTCTGTGGGCTTCGTTTACCTAGGATCCTCCTGCCCCTCGCCCCAGGCTTCCCTGAGAGCTGATTGCCCCGGTCCCGGCACGGGGGTCCAGTCCCAGCACTTTGCGGCATCACAGCGCCCTGCCCCTGGGTCTTCCCCAGTGTGCCCTCGTGTCCAGACTGGAAGCTGACCTGCTGGCCAGCTCTTCTCTGCATCTTCCTCTGGAGGCTGCACTCAGCTCCCGGAGGAATGGACAGCCCATATGCCCTGCCCTCCCCTGACTCGGAGCATCCCGACTCCCCGCAGATCCCGTTCGTCACCGTGGACCCCTGGGACAGCAGCTGCCCTTTCCATGTATCTGTTCACTTCAGACAGTGACGTTTACACACCTCCTCATCCCCACTGGGTGCCTCCACCACATTCTCAGTGTTTGCAAGCCTGCTGGTGACGAGACTCTGATTTGGTATGGACTCTACAGGGCCTTGGCTTATAACCCCAAGGCTAGGGAGGCCTTGTTTGAAACAACGTGATATTTGCAGTAGGATTTTAATGAAGTGTCTTCTTTGAATCTGGCCACTGAATCCATACACTGATGAGTGAACTTAATTAAGGGGTCCCAAACCAAAGCCTTCTTCCTAAGTGGTAAAGGAGGAGGGACCAAGGAAATCACTGTGTAAACAAACATCTGCTGAGGCTGAATTCCTAAAAACCCATCTTGGAGTCCTTCTCAGAGGTGGAAAATGGTTCTTTGGCAGACATGCTAGCTTTGAATAACAAGGAAAAGTAATTCACCATCCTCGCAGTAGTCCTTGTCTGTATCGGTCCCAGGGGAGATGCTGTTTGTTCAATATGCTTAATGGCACCTGTTCGGGTGTTCAGGTATGTTCAGTCAGGTGATGGGTGGCTATGATTTTGACCATGCAACCAAAAGTTAGGAGAAAATTCCCAGCCTACTGAGATTTCACAGGTTATTGCAATTGGCAATGCAGAAAGGTACTGGTGAAAGCCCTCTCTGCTGAGATGTACAGGGTACTTTTGGAAATTAGATGGAATCCTGTATTTGAAAACATGTCTTACATAGTATGCACAAGAAAAACTTGGTGAATTTCAAGGTAAATTTGGCCTTCTCAGAAACTCCTCCAACTAACTAAGAGGGTTGTTGTCATAAGCAATTGCAGTAGTTGCTCTTTATTGAGCACACACTATACACCAGTTTATGGGAGACTGCAAACCTCATCCACATCCTGTCTTGCTCTCCTTGGGTTCCTGGGGAGACTATATTCCCAGTCCACTTGTAATTAGGAAGGGTCACCTCCAGACCAAGGCACGAGGGAGTCAGTACGGCACCTCTGTGCTTTCTCTTCCATTCAGCAGCAAACAGAGAGAGCCCGTGTTGAGGTGTGGAGCCACGCGACGTATATAGCCGGGACCTCGGAGTCATCTGTGAGCGGTGAGCCTCTGCCAACCTTCATCAGATTTTATGTGCACAAGGAACAGACTTTTGTTGTGTTAAGTCATTCAGATATCAGGTCTTCTCTGTTGCATCAGTTAGCAGTTACTTAATCCGAGTGATACACAACTACTATTTCTACTCTTAGGCTCATTTAAATGTCTTAATGACAGAGCTAATCATAGCATATATATTCTTCTTATAAAAACTTCTTACACACATAAATCACAATCTCCCCCCTTACAACATTGCTCGAAAATTCAGCCCCCTTTTCAAAAGTAACCACAATTAACTGTCTGGTGTGTGTCATTCTAAAGCTGATTTGAGGCTTCTTTGTACATAGATGTGCTACAAAAATATGTTGAATTTTTAACACACAGGGGCCACAGTGTACATATTGTTCTGTGACTTGCTCTTGTAACTTAATGGAAGTGATTGCAAGATCTTTCTGTGACAGCACTTATAAGACCCACCTCACGTTTTAAAACTGTCATCACCATTAGAAAAGGTCCCAGCCAGCCCTCTGGTCCTAAGCTACAGCGTGAAGTAGAGCCCCTCAGCCAACCTGTAGATCTGTGAGAACAAACAGTTGTTGTGTTAGGATGCTACGTTTTGTGGCTCTACATTGGGCAGTGGAAGTTTACTAATAAGTACATTAAGGGCTAGCAGTTCATATTTTAATGTTTTATGTTCTTTGTCTTCCACAGGGAGCACATACTATTCCTAAAAATATTTTTAAGGTTAAGAAAAATAAACTTCAAAAGGCATGGGAAATTCTAATTACAGATGTTAGGGAAGCCTTTAAAATGGGAAAAATAAGCAAATAATTTACAAAAGAAGAGTGAAGTGACGCATGATTATTTCTCCTACAGAATGAAAACAAAAAGATTACCTATAGACTATTCTCTCTCCAGCTGGTGGATTGATAAAGAGAAATTTTATATCAGAGGATAAGTTCCTGATAGTTCATGAGTTTCAACATAGTTCTGGAGCACGTTTATCTCGCACCATCTAGAAAGGCGATATGTAGTACGTAAGAGCGTGAGATTCTGGAACCAGACACCTGGTCTTTCACTCCCAGAGCTACCATTTACTAGTTGTGTAATCTTGGGTAAATTCCGTAACCTCTTTGTGCCTCTTTTCTTATCTGTAAAATTGTGATGGTAATAATACCTAACTATAAGATTATTTTGTGAATTAAGTGTAGGGCATTCAGCACGGTGCCCACGAATTCATAAGCGTTATATATGTGTTAACTATTATTTTATTATCAAAGCATTTTGCTGAGTTTTCATTGAAGGATTAATTGACATTTAATACAGGAAGAATATGGGCCCTATAGATAACCTTAACACTTAAAAACTACAATGTAGAAATACTAACCTCTGAGAGGGAATCTGTCACCTCTGTAGTCCCTAAAGCACTATCGGATGATTTCCATTAATATTAATTAGGTCAATAAAAAGTATTAATGTTTAAATACAAGCCATGGTTATCAGAAAAATTTATTAGCCTTAATACTTCACTCCCCATTTTTATAGGATAAATGAGGTAACTCAAAAGAGAGAGATTTTACGTTTTATCATTAGTAAATAGCTAAGCAGTGAAGAACTGAGGAACTCAGCTTTGACCACATCTTGGACTAAGTGAGATTTAAGGATTGTTTGGTATCCAAGGATACCTCTTAATGTAATTTCTATAAATCTGAGAAGAAAAGAGATTGTGATGATCTCATTTGAGAGTAATATGTGGAAGAAGGACCAGAATACATTGGAAATGCTGCCTAATCAAAGCATTGTTTTCATGTATATTTTATAGTTTTTAAGTGATTTTTTTCGCTTAATGTTTTCTAGCTGGAACATTTTATGTCATAATTACTAGTCTCATCAGAGATTTCATTTTTATTTATACAAATATGTGGAATCTATGATTAGATGTGTGCATTTAGGCCAGTTGGACCTCCTTTATTTTACATCAATG